TGATGAGTGAGTCTCAGAGAGTGGCCTCTGGGTGAGCCCTTGAGCCTTGGCCAGTCCCAGAGGGAATAATGGGGGGAAAGTGATGAGATGAGAGAGGAGAGCCAGTGAAGTCCAGTGGAGGGTGTGTCCAGGGAAGAGGAGGAGGAGGAGGAGGAGGAGGAGGAGGAAGGTGAGGAGGAGGAGGAGGACTAGAGACAGATGATAACAGAGAGGCAATCTTGCTTGGATGATTCTGTTCAGAAATACCTGTAAATGCTCCCACTATTGGGGTGAAAGTTTCCTAAAATCCAGGTCCTTACTGTATCTCAGAATACCTCCTTGTCAATGTTATAAGATGGAAAACACGATGCTGAATGGGAAGAAGCCAGGCACAGAAGGCCACATATTTTTCAGTCCCATTATGTACAGTGTCTGCAGTAGACAAGTCCACAGAGACAGAGGGGCAGATTGGTGGTGTCAGGTAGGGGTAGGGGGGTAGGGATGACTGCTTAATCAGTAGAGAGTTTCATTTTAGGGTGGTGAAGTATTCTACGACCAGATAGTGTTGATGGACATACAGTATTTTGTTTTTTGTTTTGTTTTGTTCTTTCTTTTGAGACAGGGTCTCCCTATAGCCCTAGCTAACGTGGAACTTGCTATGTAGACCAGGCTGGCCTCACTCTCACAGAGATTGTCTGCTTCCCAAGTGCTGAGATGAAAGGCATGTGCCACCATGCCCAGCTGGACATACAGTATTTTGAACATAATGCCACCAACGGCAAATTTTGTTTTATTCAATTTTATTTACCACAATAAGACATCTCTTCCTGAAAATGACTTTGTGTGTGTGTGTGGATGTGTGTGTTATGTATGTATGCACATGTGTGTGGACACACTTGCCTGTGTGTATGCATGCATGTGGAGACCAGAGGTCAACATAAAGTGTCTTCCTCTATCACTCTCAACTTTATTTTCTGAGACAGAGTCTCTCACTGAATCTGGAGTTCCCCATTTTGGCTAGACTGGCTGTCCAAGGGGCCCCAAGAATCTACCTGTTTCCTTACCCCAGTGCTGGGATTACAGGTGCACTCTGCCATGTCCAGATTTTTACATAGGTGCTAGGGATCCAAACTTAGGTCATTGTGTTGGTACAGTGAGCACGTCATCCACTGAGCATCTCCCCAGCCTACAAATAAGTTTTTGAAGGTATTGTCTCTTCTTTTTTGTTTTCTTCTCTCTCTGTCTCTCTGCCTGTCTCTGTCTCTGTCTCTGTCTCTGTAAAAGCTTTTTTTGTGTTTTCTTCGTGCTCTGTCTCTCTGCCTGTCTCTGTTTCTGTCTCTGTCTCTCTCTCTCTGTGTGTGTGTGTGTGTGTGTGTGTATGTGTGTGTCTTTCACTCTGTGGGACCCAAACTTGAGATCTGGCACATGCTAGGGATTCCAAAGGAAAATGGGAGAGTGAGTGAGTCTATGACCTATAACCAGCTGATCAAAGTTGGCCTCACCAATGGTGGAGCAGTCTGATACTCTGTGCCTCCTGGTGGGACACAACTAAGGCCACATTGCTTAAGTAGCATCCCTGCTAAGAAAACAGCCTGCAATGAATCATGGGTATGATGGTTCATCTCACTTGTCAATTTGATGAGATCTGGAATCTCTTGGGGAGAGATTGACTAGGTTAACTGAAGTGGGAAGACCCACTGTGGATGGCACCATTCCCTTGGCTGGGATTCTGGACAGCAAAAATGGAGAAAGAGAACGGAGCACATTCATCACTCTCTGCTTCCTGACTGAGGATACAGTATGGCCAGCAACCTTATGCTCCTGCCACTATGACTTCATGGACTATAACTTCGGACTTTGAGCCAACAGAAACCCTTCCTTCCTTAAGTTGCTTTTGTCAGAACATTTTATCCCAGCAACGGGGAAAGTAGGACAATGGGGAAGCATCAAATACAAGTGTGCTAGTCAGACTTTTGGCCTCAATGACCAGAATGCCCTAGAGAGCAACCTAAAGGAGGAAGGATTTACTTGGGCTCATGGTTTTAGAGGGATCAGTCCACTACCCTTGGTTCCATTGATTCTGGGCTCACTGTGAGGAAGAATGTCATGGTGCAAGAGTGAGTGGTGGAAGAGTCTATTCCCCTCACAGCAGACAGAGAGGAAGGGCTGAGGGACCAGTTAAACCCTCCAAACCATGCCCCCTAGGACCTACTTCCTCCTAAAGTTTCTACATCCCAGTATCATTTTAGAGTATATCATCAGAGGATGAATCCATTCATCAGGTCAAATCTCTCAGGACCTGGCCACTTCTCCAGTGCCTACCGGCTGGCAGCCAAACCTTTAACTTTATCCTGTGGTGGATACTTCCTGTTCAAGTCATAGTAATCAACTTGCCAGACACTCCACATAGACATCCAGTGCTCTTAAATCACATCAGTGTCATGAAAAGGAAAGACTGAAGAGCCATTCCAGACTAAAGGGGACAAGACAGACTTGGGAATGAAATACAGGCCATCATCTTACACAGAATATGACTGGGTTAGTTAGAGCTGTGTGAATATGGATGACAGATGAGATGGTGGTATTTATAACAATGCATTTCTTTTGGTGTGTATGTGTGTGCATTCATGCACATTCATGTGTGAATATAGGTGTACACATGCCATATCACGTGTGTTGAGATCAGAGGACTACCTCAGGTGTCAGGCCTCACCTTGTTTGAGATGAGAGTCTGTTGTTTTTCCTCTTCTTACACTTGGCTGGCTGATCTGAGAGTTGGTGGGGTTTCTCCTGTCTCTGCCTCCCACCTCTCAGGAGTGCTGGCATCACAAATGATTGCAATATTGCATCCAGTTTTTAAATAGGATCTGGGGAGCTGGAGAGATGACTCAGTGGTTAAGAGTACTGACTGCTCTTGCAGAGGACCCAGGTTCTTAACTCCAGTTCCAGGGGAAATTTGATGCCCTCTTCTAATCTCCAAGGTATTGCATGACATGGGTGTACTCATATACATACATATAACACAAAAATAAAACAATAAAAAAAATAGATCTGGGGATTTGAACCCATGTCCTCACACTTGCATAAACAGTACTTTTACCAGTTGAACCATCTCCCCAACTCTCATGTTAAATTTCTTAATCGTGATTATCACACTGTGGTGGTGTAAGAAAATATTTTGGTTTTTCAGAAATATATGATTGTGTATTTAGACATAAAGAGGTTTGGCTTAGGTGACTTATTCCCAAGTACTTCAGAAAAAAGTGTGTGTGTGTGTGTGTGTGTGTGTGTGTGTGTGTGTGTGTGTACATGCATGTATTATTCTATTTAAAACTCTGCTAAAATTTCACCATAGCATAAACAAAGTCTAGTTTGTACTGTATTTTAAAAATGAGATTAAAAGTGAATTTTATTTCCTACAAATTTTAGTAATAGAATCAGGCTGAAAATTATTGGAATGAAAGACCAGCCAGGTGTTGATTTTGGGGGTGACACTTTTCCAGCCCAACTGAGGTTGACGTCTTCATGTGACATTTGAATACTGTCGACCAACATGATGGTGATGTTTGTAAAACTCTTCAAAGGTTTCACCAGTTCTCCCACACGTGACCTTCAACTCCCCGGTACCACAATTCTTTGAATACTTTCTTCCTTTTTCATCATGTGTTTACGCTTTCCCTCTTCTGACACGTCCAGCTGGGCTTAGGTTCTCACATGTTAGTGCCTTGGGTACCCCAAGCACCCGTCTTTCATCAGCACAGTACAGCACCAGCTCTGTTGTGAGATCTTCGATTTCACATTACAATTGCCTCCTAGTGTATATTACTCAGATTGCCTTCCCAGAGTTGAAAAGATTACCCAGAAATCTCAGTGGCTGAACATCCAAATGCTTGTCAATCACAATCTCAATTCAAGGTGTAAGGCTTCAATGTCGCCTGGCACCGTCCCCAGCTACTTCATGGGGGAAGAAGGAGAAAACTCCCACCTGTTCTTCTGAGCTTCCGCCAGAAAAATTGCATGCGGGGCCCATCTAAGCACAAGGGAGTCTGGGAAATGTAGCCTTGTGGGATCAAAAGGAAAAATGAAATGGAGCCTGTTTGCTATACATTGTATGTATATGTAGGAGCCAATGTTGTTCAAATGGGGAGAGACATTGGGAGGAGACATTGAGTGACAGCTCATTTTCTAAGTATTTGTTAGGAAATAATTTTGTATACTCACTTTAGCTGTGTTTCAAAGCAGCTCTAATAATGACTATTCAAATAATGAGTGCCTGGTATAAAAGGGATGAAAATAGCATTCCTTACACACAGAGCTCCTCATTCCTGACCCAGTGCCCACAACTGCTGAGGGGATGCAGTGCTTTCTGAATTGGATTAATTTTAAAATATATTTTATTTAGTGTGTGTGTATGATTGGGGGTGGAGAGGCACACATGTCACAGCATACATATAGAAGTCAGAGGACAATTTTGTGAAGTCAGTTCTCTCCTTCCACATGTATGTAGGGTCTGAGGATCAAACGCTGATTCAACAAGTACCCTTCCCCACTGAGCCATCTCTCTGGCCCATACTTGCCCCTTTTGAGACAGGATCTTGTGTAACTCAGGCTCGGCTGCTGGCTTCAAACTATGTAGCTAGCCAACAATGGCCATGAGTTTATGATCCGTCTGCCTTTACTTCACAAGTGCCGGGATTACAGACATTCCTTCACTTCACCAGTGCTGGGATTACAGACATATGCCCCACATTTGTGTGGTGCTGAGGATCAAACCCTGGGCCTCATGCATGCTAAGCAAGCACTCTACCAACCAAAGTCCCAGCTCTGAGTTACAGATTTTAATTGGTCTTTATCCTCTTGCTCCACAAGAAATCCTTGGCATCTGGATCCAGCAGAGCAAAGCTCCTTTCCAGACCTGGGTGTGGTGAAGTCTCCAGGCAGGAAGATGGGAAGGGCCATCTTTGATTTTCTGAGACCCTCTGTTCAAAGTTGCTAATTTGATTTTGCCTCACCGTTGACAGATTTGGACTTGTCTTACTTGCCCTTTTTGGGCTGTCTCACCACCCACTCAGCCCTCACCGCCCTGTGAACATGTTGGCCATTCTTGCCTTCATCATTGTCTTCCACATCGTCTCTGCAGCGCTGCTGTTCATCGCCACCATTGACAATGTAAGTTCCTGTTCCTGATCACCTAGGAGGCCTGGGGCAGGATGGAGAATGGGGTCTGTGTGATTGTGATCTGGGGGTATCCTCCCTGCCAAGGTGTCTTCTCAGCCCAGGCCCAAGGGCTCTCAACCTACGCATGGAACTTCAGAAGCATCTGTAGTCAGGCTTGGAGGCAGTGTTCTAAGACTGGGATGGTTGGTGTGATGGTCGCCTCCAAGAAGCCCCTGAGGATGTGTGAGTTCCTGCAGAGCTGGGTTCTTCACCTCAACACTACTGTCATTTGGGGTTAGATGCTTTTCTTTTTTCTTTCTTCCTTTTTTTCCCCTTTTCCTTATTTTTTTTTTGACTATTGAATATTTATTTTTAGTTTTCAAAATAACATACAAAATAATAGTTTTCCAAATCTTTGTCTAGTATACTTCAGATAAGAGGTTAAAAATTGAAAATATTTAAAATATGTAAAGAATTGCCAAAATTAAACACATATACTAAAAATACCCTGCCATAGGGGTCAATGCTTAAGAGTGTTTGCTGCTGTCCCAGAAGACTGGAGTTTGGTTGTCATCTTAAGTGGCTCACAAACACCTGTTACTCTCACTCCAGGGGATCCAGTGTGCTCTCTGGCCCCTGCACACATACACATATGCATATGCTCACACAGACACACACAATATACATAAATAATTTAAAATGTTTTAAACCTCCCAGCAGTCACAGTCTGATGCTGAAATCCTGGAGGATTCCTGCGGAAGGAAGCGCTGCTCTTCAGTCACGATGGATGGCCAAGAAAGCTGGGCTTTGATAGCAGTGAAGGATGATAGCAGTGATAGACTCTGTTCCTCAGGAAGACAAGGAGCACACACTCACACACATACGCATACACAAACAAACCAAGAACTGTACACACACAATACACACAGAGAGAAACACACCAAACACCTTCCACACACTACACACACCTCACCAGATACATCACATACACACACAAACATATATAACACACACCACACACATACAACACATGCATAGACACACATACACCACACACATACCACACACACCTATAGCACACACACAGAGAAACACAACAAACACCCCCAACACTATACACAACACACACCCCACGCCAGACACACACATCACATACACACATATACAGACCCAGACACACATATACAGCACACACCACACATACATGTACAACACATGCACTCACAGACATGCATACAACACTCACTACACGCATGGTGGATGATACTGCCCACACTCCGAGAGTCTCCTCTCCTCAGTTATTCTCCACATCAGTCCTCTTTGGAAATACCCCCTAGATGCTCAGAGGTCCATTTAGCCACCCTACGTACACATCCTCTCAGGGGATCTAGGAGGTTGGGGCTTACCATGGTTGGGGGTAAGGCATGGACTGAACCTCGCGTCAGTTCTGGCCCTTTCCAGAGTCTACACTTGGAATAAGAGGCGGAGCCAGGATTTGAGCCATCCCAGAGACTCCTGGTCTTCGACTTCCAGAGGAAATGAACACAGTTTGCCTTCTAGAGGGTCTTGCTGAGCTGCTGAGTACCCAGGCTGGGATCACACGGATGCTGTGGGTTGTCATGTTTGGGGCCCACCCTGGAAAGGGCTCATAGTATACAATAAATGTTACTGAATGTTCTCTCTCTCTCTCTCTCTCTCTCTCTCTCTCTCTCTCTCTCTCCTCTCTCTTGTTTCCTGCACCTCAGGCTTAGTGAAAGGGATGGACAGGCATGGGGCAGGAATGTGCTCACACACCCCAGGGTTTCTATTAGCATGACTGAGATGGGAGGAGGTGTGCCAGCCAATGAGTCAGCCATTCTGCTTTAGGGCCTTGGAATTCTGCTGGGTACTGCACTGGACTCTTCGTGGGTGCTCAGTGGACATTTGTGGGCCTGATGTGTGGGTGAGAGGTGTCCAGTCCAGTCACTGGGGATGGAAAGTAGAAGGCAGGTCATCAAGGGCTGCAGCAGAACAGCAGTTCAAGGGAAAATGAAGGCACTAGGCCAAGGCAGGAGAGTCTCCCCGCCCCCTACCATCGTCGTCTAACCCCTTTTCATTTTCATTTTATTTGTTTTATTGTTTGGAGCCTTTAAATTTTTTAACATTAAAAAATATTTATTTTTCATTGCATTTTATTGACTTATTAGTAGGTTTGAGGGGGTGTTGGGGGGTGTTGGGTGGGTGGCTCATGTGCAAAGGTCAGCTTGCCAGAGTTGATGCTCTCCTTCCACCATGTGGATCTGGGGCATCAAACTCAGGTCGTCAGGCTTGGCAGCAAAGGCCTATACCTGTTAAGCCATCTCACTGGCCCATGGATACTTTTTAAAAATTCATTTTTGAAGCCGGGTGTGGTGGTGCACACCTGTAGTCCCAGCACTCGGGAGGCAGAGGCAGGCAGATCTCTGTGAGTTCAAGGCCAGCCTGGTCTACATAGTGAATTCCAGTCTAGCTGGGGCTGCAGGGAGACCCTGTCTCTAAATAAATAAATAAATAAATAAATAAATAAATAAATAAATAAATAAGTAAATAAATAAAATAAAAATTCATTTTTAATGGTGTATGCCTTTAATCTCAGCACTTGGAAGGCAAAGCCAGATAGATCTCAGTGAGTTCCAGGCCAGCCAGGGCTACACAATGAGACCCTGTCTCAAAAAAAAACAACAAAAGGAAAAAAAATTAATTTAAAATTAAGTTTTAGGTTAGCCGACAGAGCGGTGGGTTTCAGCATAGCATCGCCATCCATGTGCATCACTGCCCTTTGTTGTCCGTCTCCCTCTGCAGCAGGCTCCTCCCCTCCCCTAGTCAGTCCCTGCTTCTCTGTATTACAAGTATTCCATTTCCTTCTATTTCCCATCTCTGCAAGACCTCTTCATGACCTATAAATGCACACATAAATACACACGAGTGTATTAAATGTGTGTATATATGCACAGAGTACATACACACACATACAATTTTTAACCACACGTGAGAGAAAGCATGCAGGATTTGTCTTTCTGAGTCTGATTTATTTTGCTTAACATAATGTTCTCCAGGTTCTCCCATTTTCCTGAAAATGTTATAATTTCATCTTTCCTTATGACTGCGTACAATTCCTGTGTATATATACCACATCTTTCCTTAATCTATTCGCCCACTGATGGACATTGAGGCTAGTTCCATTTCCTGCCTATTGCGACAGGCTGTCTGTCCCCTTGACGTGTTCTTTCTTGTCACATACATATCCCCCACAGTTCTGCTAGAACGAACCTCCATTTATGCTGACTGCTGCTAACTCAACAGTGTCTCCTGTGTGGGTCATGAGAGTGAGGACCACCTCAGAGCCTTCCTCAAACCCACAACCTGGCATCCCATGGGACACCTTCGAGGCCTCCTGACTTGGAGTCTGCATTTGAGCAAGGTCCTCGGGAGACTCACCTGCACTGGGTCCTTTAAGAAGCAATGCATCTCTATAGGGCCCCAGCAGGACTCAGGGTCTACATCATTAACCAGCAGCTTCCCTCTGCTTCCCTTCCCTTTGCAGGCCTGGTGGGTAGGAGAAGGCTTCTCTGCAGACATCTGGAGGGTGTGCCTCAACGCTACAAACTGTACAGAAATCAATGACTTCAGTACCGACAGTCCTTTTAAAGGTGAGTGTGAGTGAGTGGAGCCCACGGAGAAGCCCTGAGTGAAAGAGGAGCCTCCTGCAGTTGGGCGGCCACATCTCCCCTCCTCCCTGAGATAAGGAACAAACTCAGCCAGGCCCACCTCTGCAGGCCCAGTCAGTGCTGCCCGCTCTGTCTGTGTATGTATGTCATGCTGACTTGAGCCCTGAGAACAGCCAGCTGTGGTGGTGAGCAGGGTCAGCCAGGACAGCCTGCTGGGCCCTGAGGCAGTGTTCTTGGGCCTGTGCTTTTTGTGTTCCACACCCTCCAAGTGGGATTATTTCTGTGTTATTTCTGCTCTTTAAATCAAGGATCAGTGAACTACCAGCTAAATTCAGCCCAGGCCTGTTTTGGTATGGCCTATGAGCTAAGAATGCTTTTGACATTTTAAGAGTTGTGAAAAGGAACAAAATCCACCCCCAAAACAAAGCAAACAGCAAAGAATAAATAGGACAAGGAGCATGAAGAATTTGCTGTCTTCTTCCCTTTCCTGAAAAAAAATCTTGCCAGCTCCTACTTTGTGGTAGCTCATAGTTTCCATATGCAAATTTGTTTGTTTATGCAAATTTATTCTTCATGTAAATTTATTCCAGCCCTATCAGTGATAAACTGGTGTAACTTGCCGTGGAAGCCAGAAAAAAATACTAGACTGAAGGCCAGAGGATGTCACTAAAGTCTGACCAGACATGCTCCCAGCCTTCCCACCTACAGTTCCTTTTTAAACAAAATTTTAAAATATTTTTTTCATTTTAGTGTGTGTGTGTGTGTGTGTGTGTGTGTGTGTGTGTGTGTTCACATACTTCAGCACATGTGTGAATGTCAGAGGACAACCTGTGGGAGTCAGTTCTCTCCTTCTACCATGCAGGTCCCAGGGATCAAATTCAAGTTGCTAGGTTGGTGGCAGATGCCTTAATGAGCTAAGCCATCTCATCAGCCCATTTTATTATTGTTTTTCCCCTCAGTTTTGTTTTGTTGTTATTGTTGTTGTTGTTTTTGAGACAGGGTCTCCGTGACTGGCCTAGAACTTGGTATATAGACTAGGCTGGCCTTGATCCCAAGAGAGATCTGCCTGCCTCTACCTCCCGAGTGCTGGAATTAAAGGCATGTGCCTCCATACCCGGCCTGCATCAGTTCTTTTTCTGTTAATGCCAAAACAAAATACAAACAACCAAGAGCCAGATGTAGTTGTCTCTCAGGATATGTAGGGACTGGTTCTAGGACCCCTCCAGGATACAAAAGATACAAAATGGCATATATTTGCATATAACCTATGCATATAATCTATTTGCATATAACCTCTCCTAAACTAAGTCATTCCTAGGTCTCTTAGGACATCTAATGCAATGTCTGTATGTCATTTCATTTGTGTGGATTTGGCATGGCACAAGGCAAACTCAAAATGTGCTTTCTGGAACCTTCTGGATATTTTTTTGTTCCCTCAAAAAAATGGCTGGTTAAATCTGAGGATACAGAAGCTGTAGATACTGAGGGCCAACGATCTTAGTGGGTCTTATGAGGTGCTAACCCTCCAAGTTCCTGAAGTCTACAGGAATGATGAAACTACAGCAAGATCACAGCCTTCCTGTTGAGTGTGTTTCTGGTTTCAGGGCCTTCACTGGACTTCACCTATGCTAACATCACAGACTATCAGTAGCACATCACACATGACCTCAACCCCAATGAGACCTATTCTATAAGCACACATCCATCCTTCCCCATAAAACTAGTTTCCACATTTGCCCATCACACAATATGAATCACCTGGGTACTTATTAAAACTATAGATTCTTGGCACCTTCCCCAAACAATGACAGTTGAGTGGGGAATCTACAATTTTTTTTTTCACTTTTACAAAAACTTTTTTGAGAATTTCATACATGCATATAAGGTGTTTCGATCAAATCCATGCCCACTCCCTCCCCTCCAACTCCTCCCCTATCTCCCCATTACTTTTTTCTTTTTCTTTTCTTTTTTTTCTTCTTTTATTTATTTATTTTTATGGGGCTTTTTGCTACTCTTAACATTCCCCCCTCTGAAGAGGTAACCCTAAAATCTTTTAAGGATTAGATAAAAGCCCCCAAATACTTTAGA